GATCTTTGACTTGCAAGAACGCTATGAAGAATACAACGTCAGCAACAGCGCACGCTTTTATATTTATGACTCTGAGTTCTCCGAAAAAGCCTCATCGTTAAGTTTGGACTCCACAATTGCCCGCGCTTTAAGAAGTAATGTGAACAGTAAAATAAGTTGGGCTAAGCAATATCGTTCAGCTGTTGACAGCGTCATCAACGGGTCAACAACCCACAATCCCAACACTCCGGTGCCTTACATTGAATTCGCAGAAGTAAGCAGAGTCAACGATGGCCCAGTAGTGGGAGAAACTGTAACTGCCCCTGAAATAGCAGCTCTATTATACACGTCAGGTCAACACAACGACGCCCCACGCGCAGTTGTTACTTATCCGAAGAATAGCCCAGATTCCAGACCACGTTTCTTACCGCTATGGAGTCCAGCGTACGAGACACTTCAGTTTCCTCTCCTTTTTTTGCATGGAGAAGCAGGTTGGAGTAAAGGTCATCGTCAGGAAGACCCACCATTCAAATCAAAGACCATGAATAAAACGAACACGCACCCAGTATCCTTTCCCTTTTATTGCAGACAGCGGATATTGTCCGAACAAATCTTTAAGTTGAACAGCCGGATAGCCCAGGAGTGGGCATGTGACTCTCTTAGTAGAATGGAGGAAGACCGCCTTTCATTTGTGGAGAGACCCGCTCTCCAACAACGACTTGCAACCGATCGTTCAATTCGTGACTCATCCCCTACAGAACATCCAGGTAAATTACTCCCTGCTAGCCACCCTGGCTCACCAGCTAAGAGGAAAAGTGACACCGAAGACGCTTTAAGCATCGTTAACAGAAGAGGACGACCACATTTGTTCATCACAATAACCTTTAACGCTAATTGGAAAGAGGTCACAGATAACTTGCTGCCAGGACAGAGTGCTTACGATCGTCCGGACCTGTGTTGTCGTATTTTCAAACTCAAGTTTAAAGAGATTATGTCAGTTCTTAAGAGTGGTAAAGTTTTCGGCCCCTACGACAGCCATCTCAGTGTAATCGAATTCCAAAAAAGAGGTTACCCTCATGCGCACGTCCTCATGACTTTTAAAAATGCTGGACCTGATGCTCTCAACGAGATGGACAAATGGGTTTGGGCTCAATTGCCTAGTGAAAACATTGCACAGGGAAAACTACGTGAAAAAGTTTTGAAATACATGATACACAAGCCGTGCGGAGCTCACAACGTTAACTCCCCTTTCATGCAAACGAATCGAACGACAAACACAAAATGCTGTAGTAAATATTTCCCTCAACCGTTCAGAAATATTGGAATCGTTAACGAGAAAACAGGACGCGCAGAGTACAAACGAACAAGAAACGGTGACAACCCAACAATACGAGTTCGAGTTGATGGAGTATGGAAGGATGTGAAGGTTGGCAACGAATGGGTGGTCCCTTACAACCCCCTTTTGCTCATGATGTTTGACTGCCACATTTGTGTTGACGTCGTAACGGCAACATCATGCGTTATCTATCTCTTCAAGTACGTACGCAAGGGCGCAGACTTTGCCAAGGCCAGAATTCAGGGTGTTACGAGCGAAATTGAACAGTATAGAAAAACACGATACATTTCAGCCCCCGAAGCAACGTGGAGACTTCCAGGCTACCACATGATGGACAGATACCCCGCCGTTACCAAAATCCATGCACACCTCGAGGGGGAACAATACATCACTTATCCCCACAATGCAACCCACGAAGAACGATTGACCATTGCCGAAAATTCCCAGTCTGACCTCCTTAAATATTTTAATCGTCCCGCCAATGACTTCTTCTCCCCCTTAACAATTTTAGATTACTACGAGCAGTACACCGTATCACCGCCTAAGGATCCTCCCGATCAGGTTGCGCGTCCTCAACATCGTCTCTAAAAGAAAACATGATGAACATGTGTGCCGAATTGCTTTCCAAAACCCATCCGTCGGAGACCTTTACTATTTAAGGCTTCTTCTCCACCGAGTGCCAGCACGTTCTTTTCAACAACTACGCACAGTTGAACCCAATGATGGAGTCTCTGTTGAACACGATACTTTCCACGACGCTGCCCGAGCGCGAGGCTTGATTACAGGTGATGAAGAATACACCATGTGCATGGAAGAAGCTTCAACTTTTCAAGTGGGACATTCACTACGGTCTCTCTTCGTAACGCTAATCCTAGATGGTACACCAGCGCCCAAATTATGGCGAGAGTTTAAAGACAGCCTCATCCAGGACTTCCTGTCAAGAATGTCTGAAGACGACGCAGTCGAAAACGCTTTGAAAGAAATTGACTTGGATTTGCAACAGCATGGAAAGACTAACACGCAAGTAAACCTCCCAAGCGTCGTTCACACACTAACTGAATTCCAAAGAATGAAAAATTCGTTCAACCCTCAACAAAGTACAGAATACGCCGACTCGCACGAACCAAAACTTACTTCTGAACAGCGCCATGTTTACAATACAGTCATTGAAGCGGTGAGAACCGGAAATTCGCGCCCATTTATGATTGACGCTCCTGCTGGAACAGGGAAAACCTACACCGAAAAGTGCATTGCTGCAGGTTAAGGGGGGAAAACAAGAATGTTTTAATCGTTTCATCTACGGGCATTGCTGCTTTACAACTTCCAGGAGGTTGGACTGCCCATTCCATGTTCAAGTTGCCTATGGATGACGCCTTAACCCCCACCTGTGTGTGCAACATCAACACTCAGACACAACGGGCTGAACTTATTCGTAAATCGGACCTAATCATATGGGATGAATTACCTATGACGCACAGATACTGCGTTGAAGCTCTTGACCGGACCATGAAAGACCTCACAAAAAACGATAAGCTCTTCGGTGGCAAAACCATTTTGTTTAGTGGAGATTGGCGTCAAACAGGACCTATTGTCAAGAATGGATCAGCTACTGACACTGTCGACGCTGCTTTCATCTCTAGCGTTTTGTGGACCAACGTGCACAGGATGAAACTCACGAAATCACAACGAGACAGAGAGAACCCACAATACTCAGCTTTCGTGCGTGCTATCGGAGAAGGTACACACCCCACTACTGAAATTCACGACAGCAATCTCATTGCCCTCAACAACCACAACGTCGATGACCCCCAAGACCACTTTCAACTTCAATACACGACAGAATTCAACGAGCTCCTCAACTTCGTTTACCCTGATATCACTCAAGATTCGCGTTTATGGAACAAGCGCGCTATTTTGGCCACGACAAATACTGCCATTGACCGTTCAAACGACACCATTTCTGATGAGCGCCCGGGATCGAGCTGCTCATTTCTTAGTTCAGATTCACTTATCTCAGATGAAACTTCGCCTAACACCGCATTTGCTGCACCTGAACACCTCAACGAACTCAACGTCCAAGGCGTACCTCCTCATAATCTTCAACTCAAATCCGACGGTCTAGCCATGATTACTCGCAACCTTAACTTCTCTCAAGGCCTCGTGAACGGACAAAAATGTGTCCTCCTTGCAGTGTCCCCTAATAGCCGCGTCATCCAAGTCCAACTTCTTACTGAACAAACACCTCAACCCATCGTTTTGATTCCAAGAATAAGCTTCCAGGCCAAAGTCGGCACGAACGGAATCAACTTCACGCGAATACAGTTCCCACTCAGGACCGCCTACTCAATGACCATCAACAAGAGCCAAGGCCAAACCTTAACTAGAATAGGACTAGATTTAAGATCATCTGTTTTTGCTCACGGTCAGCTCTACGTAGCCTTAAGTCGAGCGCAAAACCGACAATCTATTATGTGTCTTTTGCCACACGAACACATCCTCGATAACACCCCCTACACAGCTAACATCATCTACAGACCTTTCATCGAAGCGGCCATAGGAAATTCACGCCCTGACTTGCCTGCCTCGCCTGGATTACCCGTCCCACCTGCACCTTCCATTCCTGCCTTACCCACACCGCCCATCCCTCCTCTTCCTCCACAAGCAACTTGGCACATACACAACCCGAACAAGGAGACGGAGCATGCGGCTTCCGAGCCATTGCCAGACATTTTCTCGGAGATCCTAACTTGCACCTCCAAGTCCGTCAACAAGTCGTGCAATACCTTTCCGACAACCGCGGAAACCCCGACCTCATATACACTGGCATCGGCATCGAACTCCTGTATTCATTGTCTTTTTCACCATGCACGTACTCTTCTTACGACGACTACCTCTCCAAAATGTCAATGCCACAAACGTACATGGGCCAACCGGAAATTTTCGCCGCCACCCACATATACGGTAGCCCAATCAACGTCCATTTCGACTCATCAACACTGCCACCTCCTCACGTCGCTAACCATCACGAGTTATTCTTGAAATACAACACTGCCTCAAAGCATTACGATACTTTCACTGTTGTACACCCGCCACAATCATGACCTTTTCCTGCAAACACTAACATCACCCCATCATTCAACAAACCTTCCCAACTGTTCACCACCTCAGGTCTTCTTCCTGCAACGATGCTCGTCCTACCAAGGCAAAACTCTGTCCAACAGCCCGGAAGTACACCATCAACGACACGCACGCTGCGTTAAAGACTGATCTTCGTTTTTCTGCGTCTTTTGGTGTTGCTCTCAGTCTGTGTCTTTCGGTGTTGCTCTCAGTCTGTGTCTTGCGGTGTTACTCCCAGTCTGTGTCTTTCGGTGTTTCTCTCAGTCTGTGTCTTTCGGTGTTGCTCTCAGTGTTACATGTCTCTGCCTTTGCAACACGTATGTAGCCATTTCATGTTACGTGTGTAGCCATGTAAACGCCAGGCACGCCATCTCAGTGTCTGACCTTCGATTTCGTGTTTAGTTCTGCCCAGGATGACGCCTTCGCTACAGTACGCCGAAGAACAGTTCCGGCCTAGATTGCCCTTTCGTCTAAAGCATCACATTGACCTCATAGAGTATCATCACATTCGAGTTGACACTGCGTTGTTTCCTTTTTAAGAGCCTGATAGAGTATCACATTCGAGTTGACACTGCCATGTGTTTACCTGTACATGACGAGTGCCGGCGTAGATTAAGCCTTCTAGAGTATCACATTGACCTCATAGACTAGAGAATCACATTAGAGTTGGGCCTGATAATCACATTCGAGTCCGAAAATCTCGCATATCGAGATTGTACCGTCGTTGCCAACAGTATTTGAGCCTGATAGAGTATCACATTCGAGTTATAGAGAGTTCCTGGCTAGAGTTGAGCCTGAGTATCACATGGGAGTCCGATAATCTCGCATATCGAGATTGTGTGTTTGTACACGCGTAGCGCCGAAGAATAGTTCCGGTCAAATCTTCAGTTTGTTATGTTTTTCCTTTCGTCTTTAACGAGCTGCCTTCACGGCTCCACTCCTTCGGGAAAATAATACATCGCATTCTGACCACATGGACCGGTCCCACTTGGTATGCGTTTCAACGCCTGCAATTCCCTCACAAGCTCCACGTCTTTACTCGCATCATCCACCGCAAAAACGAAGGACGGGGGGGTTGCGACCTGCCTTCACGGCTCCACTCCTGACCACATGGACCGGTCCCACTTGGTATGCGTTTCAACGCCTGCAATTCCCTCACAAGCTCCACGTCTTTACTCTCCGCATAATCCACCGCAAAAACGAAGGACGGGGGGGGCGGTAGCCCCCTGCGTCCGGAGCCCTTGTAGAGAATACTAATATTACCGAATGAGGCTCTTCCCGTTCCAGGAGATTCGGCTGCATTTCGACGCGCAGATTGCTTTCCATGCGAATCGAAGCCCGTGAGTGTTCTGCTGTGTTCGGTCGTCACAGCGCGCCTATTCCGGCCTCGGGACTCGCCCTACACGCCGAGCTACGGCTGCTCAAAGCCGAAATCGGGTGCTGCCGGTGACGTCATCCCATTCATTTAGCAAGACTGGCGTCCGTGACAGATTTAGGATCTTTGAAAATACGAGGAATCAGCGATAGCTCCGCGCACACACACTTTTAGAACACCCCGAAGCGTCCATGTGTTCCGCTGGGTTCGGCCATCATGACGCACCACCTCCCGTCTCGAGACTCCCCCTGCACGCTGAGCTGTGGCAGCAAGGGGCTGGGTTGTGGGGAGCCGTCCGTTCATTGTGCAAGACAAGCAATTTCGCCTCTTTCTAGCGGCTGCTGGAAATGCACACAATTCTTTGCGCTCAGCGACGCATAGATATGCGTAGCTCTCCTTAGGTGTGTCCCATCTTCGGGGGATTTGGGGTTCGGCGCGCCACTTACCGCCTCGAGCTTCGACGTCGTGGCGGAGTTGCGTCTGTTTGAAGCCGTCATCTCGAG